TTGATGATAAGCCTTAGTATGATGCATATGTATTGGTGAAAATGCACAAGGACTTTAAGTTTCAACTTGGAATGAAATTTATTTCAATAGAACAATTTACTATTGCAATTTTGGAGCATTTTCTTTTGAATAGTTTACAAGTTAAATTTGTGAAAAATGAGGATAGTAGAGGAAAGCCTACTTTGTAGTTTTAGAGCACTATTTTGAATGAGTGCTCTATTGCAAGCTAATGAGAAGCCTATTTAAGTATGTTAGAGTGGATTAGGAGTACTTAATGGAAAGTTTGCTTCACTTCGAGAGGAAGGTAACAAATTTGAAGGAGATGTGATGCCTAGACCTAAGAAAAGACTTGATAAGGAAATATAATTCAGTGCAAATTGGTGTCCAACATGGGCGAGAGAGTTAAAGTTTGAGATTATAGTGTACCTATAACTTTTAGGATTTAGTGGGATTCCCTGTAAACATGTCATTGTTGCTATATCATATAAAGGAGACAACTCAATTCAATATGTATATCACTATTATAGTAGGCAAGCATATTAGAGATGTTATTACAAGTTATTTGTCCAATTAATTAACAAAATGCGTAACCACAAATAAAAGATGAATTCATATTGCCACCTTTATACTAAAGAGAATAAGAAATACCCAAAAATCCTGAGGAGAAGGAATCCTATTGAAGAACCAACCTTACAAAGTTAAGGAGGTTGCATTCTCAATACAAATACAGGAAGCTTACGAGCTTTGGACATAACAAGGTACTTGACCAAACCCGCTAGCTTGTTAGGTAGCATCTAATATTTTTCATTAGTTAAATTGCAACACATAATATACCTATCACTATGGTCAAATCGAGCAAACACGAACTAATGCTCAAATTAACCAAAACACACCAATAAGTAACCTATCACTGTAGTTAGAATCCAATTAATGATTTTTTTTTCTATTAACAAGTTTCCCTTCTTGATTTTTATCTATAAAAACCATCAATTTTGCTACTAAAAAATGAAGAGGAATAGGCAGAGAAAGCAGAACACAAGTTTGTTCAACCAACACAAAACTTGGATCATAAACATTACAACTTATTGCAAACAATCTAAACCTAACTACCAACCAATTTAATACTATTAGCTTAGTTTAGTTTCATTAGGTTCCTATATTTTGGATGAACTTATGCCATTTGAGTGTGATTTTCTTTTTGCATGTCTGTGCCATATGTAACATTTGATGTCACATTTAAAAATTATATATTTTTTTTTATGTAAAACTAACTTTATTTTTTTGTATAAACTGACTCTGTTTTTATGTAACATCTTTACTATAATTCAAATAATTTATCTTAATATTATATAATATTTTGAATAAAACTTAATGAAATTTGTAAAAAAATTTGAATAGTTTTAAAAAGTTGTACATATGTATAAATATAAACTAATACAATCAATAAATTTTAAAAATTTCATCAGCATAAAATCTCATTCATAATAAAAATAAAATGTGTTTCATAACTTAAATTTATAGTTAGAATAAAGACCAATTGAATACCAAATATTACATATACATCTTAAATCATCATTTATAATAAAATTTATCAAAATATTGTAAATTCTAAATAAAAATTCAATTAATATTATGATATTTTTCAAAATAAACTAATTCTAATAGAATAATTCTCTTCCTTACAATCCATTGCAAGCATTATCCTAAAACGGAACTATTACAACATTACAATTTTATAGTGTTCAGTTCAACTCACACTTTATGAATCTTTTTGTCTCCTTCATTTTATTCAATGATATTTTTATAAGTGTCTAACGATATATAATAATTTTATGATAAAGTATTATAAAATTTAATATATAACTAACATTGAAATTTATATTTTTATTAAATTTTTATTCATTTATTTTAACATTTATAACATTATATATAATGAAGATTTATTTATCATAAATTTTTTATAAAAGTTAATACAATGTGATGTATTGATATTATCAAATGCTACATATTTTTAATAAAACATTATTTATTAATATGTCATTACACATTAAAAATTATTTAGTTAAGTAAATCTCTGTCATATTGTTAAAAAGAGGAAAAGATGTTCTTGTCAAAGATATGATTAAATTAAAGAGACATGTTCTTGGAATGGAATAAAATGACAAGTATGTTGTTTTACGTAAAGAGCAGCGGACAATACAAAACAATTTACCAATGTTAACAATCACGTGAAGGAATGAATTTTCAGAATTCCTTTTACATACACACGTATAAAATTCAAATATCAGATTTTGCTCTACTAAAACCAGACATGTAAAGGGAAAACATATTTATATTTATTTAATTATATATATATATATATATATAAGATTAAATTGATTTTTATTTTATTTACAACGATTAAAGATATATTTAAGCTATTGATTTATTATGTGCATAAAATGTATTTGATTTATTATTATTATAATTTGCAACCGAAAGTGGTTAACATCTTTTTGAAAAAAAGAAAATTAGTGCTATCTTTTCAAAATTATAGTTTTTAAATGTATGAAAAAACTAGTATTAAAGTACGTAATATTTTTTTTCTAATATGTAATAGTTTTATTAAGCATTTATAACTAGTTAAACCATTTAACTCTTCACCCATTCCAATACAAAAGATTAATCAATCAAATAATGGATAATAAATAGTTTGATGTGAAACATCAAAAAATGAATTGTTAGTTGTAAAAAAATTCTTTTAGTTAGATAAATAATAATAATAATAATAATAATAAATGCATATGCATAGAGGTATCAACTTTATTATACTAAACCTAATTCTCAAATCAAGAAGACCACCCTAACATAACAAAAATATAAGTTACGTCAGATGTCCAATTCAACATGAGAAAAGATAAATGCGTACGAATTTGTGTGTTTGAGAAAAATGCTACCCTAAATCAAACGACACTGCAAAAATGTCAGTTATCATAAAGATAAAATGTCAAATATATATATCACGCTCATCCCATAAATAAAGCTATTTGGGAGCATTAACCTAGCCTAAGTGACTACCTTATGGAGCACTTAACTATCTCATCCTTAGTAGAAATAACTACAAGAACACAACTCATCTGAAACACAAGGAATATTTGTTACTTTTCACACTAATACATTTTAGTTAAAGGATTTAAATTTACTGTCTTGATTTCCATAAAATAATTTTGTTTTAAAATCATGCAATTAAATATATATTTTGTTCATATTCATATAAATGTCTATTACTAATAGAGATTAGTCTGAGTGACAAGCGGCTTCATATCGTTTAAATAAAGTCTCGAATTCAAGTTTTTATATATGAAAAAAAAATTAAAAGTAAGTTCATCTACTGCATCCAGATACGCAACCTGATTAAATTAAATAAAAAAAATTATAAATATCTATATTCATAATATATCAAAATCTTGAAGATTACAAACATTTTTACTTAATTACATCTTCATCATTTGCATACGTTTTAATTTTCATCTCAAAACCCTATGCAAGCAAAGTTACATTTATTTCAATGCTATTTATTATAATTTCTGTATTAAATTCACGTTTACAGGCATTTTAACATGTTTCTAAATATATAGTAAAATTTAAGTGTTTTTTAGCTTTTTTTAAAAAAAAAGAAGGGCTTTGTTCTTTATGGGTTGACCAATAATGAATACATTAATTAATGTATTGGTATAATTTTGGAGCATAATATTTATTTGTGGGATAAAAATAGTGAAAACGAATAAGATGGAATGGGATGTGAAAGGATAACCCTTGTGATGGGGACAGGCTTGAGTTATGACGTTGTGGAATGGTGGACTCTGGACAGCGGTGTATCCTTGAAACCCAGTTCCGGTCAATGGAAGACATCTTCTGAAAACTGCAATCAAATGTACAGAGTAGAAGCACACTGCTCACTGAATTTAAATATTATTACAATATATAACTAATTTGAACTTCAATCAATTCTAAATATTAAATTATTTCAATATATATTTAGTCACCTTCACATAATTATAATTTTTTATGGCTGTTAGTTTGAACAAAGCTATATTCACAAGATTAATTCAATTATTTGTTTAAAGGGTTAATTATATTTTTTGGCCCTTTAATATAAACTGTGTTTAATTTTAATTTTTTTATCTAATTAAGTATTTCTTTTTAAAATTTTAAAATTTTATCATTTCATTGATTTTGTCCTATTTAAAGTCTTCGAATTTTTACTTTTTTGTCCAACTATGTATATGGCTTATAATAGAAGTTTAAATGTTTAGAACTTAAAAAATATAGGAAAAAAAATTATTTTAAAAGATTGTATAAGATGTAAAAGTAAAATAAAAAATAATTATTTTTCATTTTGGTTGGTGAATTTTGAGTAAAAGAAGGTATAATCGATTCAATTTGTTATAATTTTAAGTAAAAACATTGATAAAGAATATAAGTTTACTTAGTTTTAAAAATGAAAAATTAATTAATTAAAAGTAAAATTGTATTAAGTCATACAATTAAATACAATTTAAAATGACATAAAGAAAGTCAAATTTAAATATAAATTTAATGCCGCCTGATATACTTTCCGCCATAGTGTTGATTATTATTGATGCCAGCCATGTCGTTGATTTGTTCCTCTCGATGTAACGCCAAACATAATCCTAATAAGACTTAAAATCTGAATCCATAGCCGAAAAAGACATTAAAATTTGTTTTCAATTTTCGCACGTCACAACGTTTGAAGCATAGTAACATGTCTATGTAGTCAAAATCTGACCCCGGAAATTATGAATGAATGCTTAGCTCGCACTTGTTCTTTGAAGCTTCATAAAAGCAACTAGTCTTTTTTAACTATTTTTTGTTCAACTTAGAATTGACCACGCTGCCTCTGCAGCTGATTATGGCTTTGCCGTGGACACTTCCTTCTTGCTTAACTCTCACAAACACTTCCAATTTTGTGACCTTCTCCTCACACCCTTTTGCATCCTCTTGTGTTTTTCATTCATGGTTTTTTCTGGTTTGATCTAACAAGTTCCAAAGACCCTTTTCATCATGGGAAACACTTGTGGGAAACCAGTTGCTCATGTATCTTCCTCCAATTTTGCTGGTTGGTTTTTCTTCATTTTAATCTTTTTTATGCCCTCCTACCCACTTTTTTCTTCTTTGGTTCCTTGATGCCATGCCACTGTGTATATTTTGACCTTTTGTTTTGTTGAATATTCTCACTTTTTCTCCGTCGTTTATGATGTAAAACTTTGAGATTATAGGCTGTTCTATTTCCTTGTCGTTGTCTAATTCTTGGTCTGAAAAAATGAAGATTTTGAGGCTGCTTTTGCATTCAGGTTGTAAATAATGTTTGAACAATTTTGCATTTTTTGAAGATACTTTTCCAGGAATTCATTAAAATCACTTCCATTTGCTTTCTTTTCAAGAATAAGGACTCAATGAACAATTGGTTATTATGTTTAGATGAAGTTAGTGAAATTTGAACTTGGACAAATTAGTGGAGGCCGTATGTGTCAAAATTTTGTGATATTCTTGTACTTGTCTATGTCAACTACAAATTAGAAGCACTAGAACTTTTCTAGCATTGTCCCAGAACATGTAATCCAAGATACTTGCCCAAAACCTCTTCGCTGAGTTTAGAATTAGAACTCTCCTAACACTTGACATTCTTTGCTTGCATTTGACTAATTACATATTTGATGCATGATAGTTATTTTCACTTTGCACCCGTTTTTTTGGCACTTCATATCTTGTCATGTTAATTAATTAACTGATTTCAATAGATTTTAAGTAGTTAATCTCATAGCTGCTTTTGACTTGCTTCTCATCTATTTAAAGGAAATAAGAAGCCTGTAAGTAAGTCAAAGCAGTATTCAAATTCTTCTGAGAAAAAAGCTGCTTCAGAATCAAATTTTGACAAATCCATCTCCAATAAGCTCAAGCCCTTCAGCTTGAATGATCTGAAGGAGGCCACGAAGAACTTCCGGCGCGAAAATTTAATCGGAGAGGGAGGATTCGGGCGTGTCTTCAAGGGATGGATTGATGAGAACACATATGCTCCCACAAAAGCAGGCAGTGGAATTGTTGTGGCCATTAAAAATCTGAAGCCAGAAAGCTTTCAAGGCCACAAGGAATGGCTTGTATGTATAACAAGAACCATAAACCAAAGCCTTTTCTTTTCCTGAATGATTATTGGTGTTGCTTGGTTTTGATGACTGATTTTACATCATTTGTGCTGGCAGGCAGAAGTCAATTACCTAGGACAGCTTCACCATGAAAATTTGGTGAAACTTATTGGTTATTGCTTGGAAGGTAAAAACAGGCTTCTGGTTTATGAGTTCATGCAAAAAGGAAGTTTGGAGAATCACTTATTCAGAAGTAAGTACATTTATTTAACTCTTAAGTATATTTGGTGTCTTAATTGTCCCACTTCCCTTCCCTATAAATTACTGATATTTGTAGTTTTTATACACCAAAGCTAAGATTATGATATGGACATTTTGAGCGAATTACAATTGCATGTATGTACACATTTGAGGGGTAACTGCAATTTGATGTGCTTGATTTCCCAAGATGATTATTGTGATTATTTGGTTAATTAATTTTTATTCCCAATATTTGATTTTCTTAACCATTTTACAACATCAATTTGAGCTGAGCCATGATTGCTATCTATCCATTATAAACTTAAGTTTTGTTCTTTTATTTCTGCAGAGGGTGTTCAACCTATGGCCTGGGTTACAAGGGTCAACATTGCAATTGGTGTTGCAAGAGGATTAACATTCTTACATTCCCTGGATGCAAACGTTATCTTTCGTGATTTAAAGGCTTCTAATATCCTACTTGATTCAGTATGTCACATTAAAAAGTTTTGTTTGTGAATCTGTAATGGCTACGTATTCTGATTTCAATGTATGTTTTATATTCTTAAAGAGTAGCCTTAATGAATATGTAGGATTTCAATGCAAAGCTTTCGGATTTTGGCTTGGCAAGAGATGGTCCTACTGGGGATAATACTCATGTTTCAACCAGAGTTATTGGAACTCAAGGTTATGCTGCACCAGAATATGTTGCTACCGGTACAGTTCCTTTGTCTTGATCAAAGTGTTAAGACATAAATTTCTAACTCATTTAGCTCAATCAAAACATTTTTATATGAAGTTATTGAGCGGTGTTACTGTTGGGGTTAAGTGTTACTGTAATATTTATTGTAATTGAGGAACCTATGTTTACAACATCACCTTTTGAAGACTCGGTGCAAATTTTTTTGTTATCTTGCTCAGCTAAACTTGTTTCCAATACATCTTTGTTATTTTGTTTTGACTTCTTCTTCTTCTTAGAACATCAGTTTAAATTATAATCTATTCAAACTTCTAGATCCTGAATCACAAAAGGTCATTGACATTCCATAAGTCATTTAGGTTTCATTCTTTTATCTTTTTACTTCAAGTTGTTCTGTTCCTTAGAAGAATAAATGATAAACTAAGTTCTCCCTTTGCTGCTTGTAAACAGTATCAGAAGAAGACATATAATTGGAAGAGTGGTAGACTGGTGGCTTAAAACTGCAACAAAACAAAATGACTCTCAGTTGTGAACTGGTCTTAGTTCAAAGTTTAACTGATATACATGCAATTAGCAGCATATTTGTTTAAGTAACTCCAATTAAACTACTTACCAGTTCAGTTTCAATGTTTTCAAGGCTTGTTTGTTTTGAAGTTACAAAAATTTATTCCTGCATTTTCCAACAGAAAAATACATAGTTCAATGAAAATACATGGTTCAGAGCTGAAAATCAATTCCATCAAAATCATTCTATGCAAATTTACACCAAATGGATACTTAAGAGTATCTAATCAAAGCAAGCATTAGATGTTATGTTATTTATAGCTTTCCATTTGCAGCTATATCATGTGTGCACATTTGCGCGCGCGCACACATACACACACAATTTGTATGTGCGAGTGCATGCAAGCACGTGTATATATATATATATATATATATATATATATATATATATATGCATATCTATGCCTATTTCTAAGTTAGCTTTCAATTAAACAGGTCATTTGACACCAAGAAGTGATGTATACAGCTATGGTGTAGTCTTGTTAGAGCTACTAACAGGAAGGCGTGCAGTGGAAGATGATAGGCCAGGATTTTCTGAGGAAACTCTGGTGGATTGGGCAAAGCCATTCTTGAGTGATAGTAGAAGAGTTTTGAGAATAATGGATACAAGGTTGGGGGGCCAATACTCAAAGAAAGGAGCACAAGCTGCAGCTGCACTTGCATTGCAATGCCTTAACACTGACCCAAAATTTAGACCCCCAATGGTAGAGGTTCTAGCAGCATTAGAAGGACTTCAATCCTCAACCACAATGCCAAGGACACCAAAATCTGAGGGTCATGCAATTAAGCATTCTGGTGGCCATTCACAAAAGTAAAAATGGAAATACAAAGTATATGTTACTTCAATCCTTGTGACATTGTATGAATTTTTTGAGCTTTCCCTTTTGGAGATCAACTTTTTGGGCTTTTAAACACACAAAATTAGAACTTAATACACTACCTCTCTATACATCGATTTGTATATTATTGTAAGGGATCTATATATTAGTTGTCTAGTGTTTATTATTTTGTTCTTTGTTTACTTTAAAAGATATCTCTTTAGTATTGCCCCTCATAGTTAGTTTGGTCTATTTGTGTATCAAAGCTTTAGCAAATGTCAGTGCTAGATTGTGTACGGAGTACAATTGGCCAAAGAATATAGAAATGAGGTATGTAGCAGCTCAGAATCACATCATGGTTTGGAGTTTCTATTCATTGGTGTTAATTTCAAAACTGTGTTTGTACAGAAAATTTTAAAATACATAAAGGAAATAACGAAGTACGCTTAAAATGAGAGTTAAGCATAAAAAAAATTATGAAACATAGATTCAAAAAGTTAAATAAAATACATAAATTTTTAAATTTTTTCTAAAACAAGTAATTTGAAATGTTTTCTATTTGACATAAAAATCATTTAGTTAAAATTTTGTAATATTTTGAAATTACTTTTTCTTACTATCTAAATACATGAATTCTAATGACCTAATTCTCACATTCAATTTATGATTTCAGCTTTTCCAAAAGAAATGAAATTGGCTTATATCTTTCATACTTGATATAGTAAACAATATTTCCGTACAATGTACAGCAAGAAGATAAAGATTTTCATTTAAACGTATTTACTAATATAATTATGATAGATTGAAATTAAAAATATAAATTTGATAACTAAAATATACTGAAGACTAATAATAAGAAATCATAAGTAAAAGTGATAAATAGAATGAATATTAAGAGTGAAAGTTTTATATTAAAAATTTGTTAATATATGTTTTTTTCATGAAAATTGAGTGTCTAATATTAGAGTTGGAAAAGTGGATAGGCTTGGATAACCCGATTAAGTTTGTTAAAACATTGGGTTTGAGCTTTAAAATTTAGACTTAAATTAATTTTGGACTTTTTAATTCATCTGAACTTTTCTTTGATTGGATTTGAGCTGGCCTAGGTTCATTTATCTAGTAATGAATTTTCGAATGATTAAAATTATTTATTTATGTAAGAATTACTTTTAAAATTCACATTTAGAATAATTTATAATTAGTTGACAGTGTAAAATTTTGTATACTAAGCATATATCAAAATTAAACTCTAAAAGTTAAAATTTTAATTGGAATGCACTATTATCATTCAATCATAAATTATTAGATCAGCAAGAAATTTTAATTTGTTGATATTGTAAGAGCTTGTATGCTATCAAAATTGAACTAAAAGATTAATAGACAATAAGAATCTTAAAATTAAATAACTGAAGAACCAAATTGCATTTTTAGTAAAATGTATGATTTTAACTTATTCAAAATATTTTTTTTCAAAATTATTATTATTATTCTTTAAGTTCAATAATCATAAGGATACGTCTGTAAGGTAGATAAATTGCTTAAAGTTTTGTGGATTCCTAAGGTCAAGAACACAAAATCTGTTTAGCACCTTCTGTTTTTTTTGCTAAATTTACCACCTTTATGCTTTTTTGAAGTTTTTATTTAAAAAATAGCCTTAAAATCATTTCCTTTTTCTTTCTAGAAAAGCATTGAATTTTAGGGGTTACAAATTTTCTAAACTTTGATTCTAGAAGCAACTAAAAAAAAGTTTCCGGAATGTGACTATTCTGAATACTGAAGTGGAAGAAAGTGAAGACTGAATACTGAAATATACCATAGTCAATTTGTGTTCATTGCTAGTTTACTTCGCTATCTTCGTTTTTATCACAGAAAAAACTCTAGTTTACATCGTAAACATTAGCTTCTTTTTTGAAAGTGCAAAATAACTTTGGGGAAGGGGGTGGCAACGAAAATTGATTTTAAATCAAATTTTAATTTTTAAGTCAATTTAAAACTAATTTTAAAAAAATTAAAATAAATTAAAAATAAATCTGGATTATTTTTTTTGTTCCCTTTGTTGGCGAGTGAAAAAGTTCGTTAAACACGCCACCAAAGCGTAAACGGGAAGCCCCCGGTAATTACCAAAATACCCCTCGCGTGGAATCTGCTGCTTTAAGTTACCCAACAACGCAAATAAAATTGAAACTACTGTACAGCCTCAGTTCACACTTATTAATGATAAAATTGGCTTGAACAAAAATAAAATTGAAAGAAGATATTAATGTGGTTTTTATTGTTGGTCTACAAAGGATCTACGCATGCAATTCTGTCACAAAACATCCAAGTTTGTAAAAAGGCAATTTTGATTTTTTTTATTTAAATAATGTAAATTAAAAAATTAATTCTTAATTTATTATTTTTTTCAAACTATTTTTCTGTCTGAAATGTATTTGTTTATGTGATAATACTTTCGCTAAAATATCAGTAAAAGTATTGAATTTTTATTTTTTTAAATAAATTTCATCATCAGAAATATAAAATAATCATAATATTATCATGTATCAGCGTTAGTGTAATTTCATAATGTGTTTAGCAAAATTAGAAGCTATTTTCGTCATGAAAAGCATAAAACTTTTAAATGTTAACACATGTCATAATTGCTATGAAAATGATAGAACTTATAAGAAGTTGACATGTGACACGATTTTGGCCAAATGCACAAATAATATGGCTATATTTTTTAATACATGTTTTTTTCTAACTTTTACACTATATATCATTAGTGGCACCTCTCATTTAATTCAATTTGAAGAACAAGTACCAAAGTGTTACCAAGTTAGTTTTAGTTAATTTATTTTATAATATGTTGCTAATTTAATTTAAAAGTATGAATTTAGTTATTGTTAGTTTATTTTTAATTAGATAATTTGATTAATCAATGAATGATTTTTTTTTGTTTTTTATATTAGAAAAAATAAATATTAAATAATTTTTATTTGTAAAAATGCAAGGATGAGTAGATTTGTTATTATTATATATTGGAATAGTAGAATTTATGAAAGAAATGAAGGAGTGAGTTTCAAAGGAAGTAAGAAAGTGATTAAAATAAAATGAGGAATAAGTTTTGAAGTCTTTAAAAGAAAAATTTATTTAAAACTTAATCTAAATCAAAATCAAGTTATTTTCAGATTAATTTTACATTTTTTTAATTTATAGAAATATTAGACAATATACAGTTTTGAATATATTTGATAATGAAGATATTAATTGCATGATAAATATATATCAACAAAAATGTTATTAAGTTATATATGGATATTGCTTTTGGTAAAAGTCCACTAGTGTCATTATAAATTTAAATTTATCATAGAATGATGATACTCTTATGAATTTAAATTTTTCATTTAATAACAATATTAACCAACATAATATCAAAAAATAATTTTTTTATTTATATACAAATTCAAATTACATCTTAATTAAAAAATTTAAATCACTAACATAATTAAGCATAATAATTTTTTCATTACATATCAATTATGATTACATTGAATTAAAAAAACTTAAATTACTAACATAATACCAGAAATTATTTTTTATATTTACATACAAATTACTATTACTTTTTCATTAAAAAAGTCTAAATTACTAACCTAATTACCATATAGAATTTAACTTCATTAATTTTAATAACATAATTAAACAAAATTTTATTTTGATTTACATACAAATCATGATCACATTTAAAAAAAAAATCAAATTATTAAAATAATTAAACATAATATTTTTTTTATCTTTACATACAAATTTAAATTATATTTTAATTAAAAAATAAATTACTAACATAATTAAGTTAATTTTTTTAATAATTATCTACAAATTATAATTACATTTACATTAAAAAAAGTTCATATTACTAACATGATACCATCAAATATCTTCTAAATTTACATCCATATTACTATTAGATTTTAATTATAATTATTTAAATTACTAACATATAAGAATATTCTTATTACATCTTAATTAATAAAAATTACATAAATAATGTTATATTATTTAAATAAAAAAACTCTTATTACCAACATATAAATTATTTTATTTCTTACATTTTAAATATTACAAATTATATATACATGAAATACATATAAATTATTATTATTATATCTTAATTAAGTAAAATTAATTTTTACATTATTACTAAATTATCAATTTCCAAACCATACTTAAAAAAAATAAATGGATGTAAAAATATTTATTATAATTAAACTAAATATAACTCATTATTATTATTATAGAATTTTTGTAGTTAACTATTTTTGTATTATTCTCTAATTTTACAAATATATAACAGATATAATATACACCATCATATTAATAATATTACGTAAACATATAATTAAAACTATTATTAAATTATTTTTTCAACTAACAACTAATTACAAAATCACATTTTAGTCAATTATACTACAACCTAATTTTTTAAACATGTTAATCTAAACACAAATTAATGTAAAAATATTTAAAAAAAAAAAAATTAGTAGCCTTTGTTAACCTTTGCTGTTATTGTTTCACTACTCACTACTCATGTAATTACTTGCATTTAATTACAAAATTTACAAAATTTTTTTTTTTCATTTTTCAGATTTTTTAAATAATAAGCAAAATATAAAATAATATATAAGAACACATAACATGATTAATACCTGAAATAAAAGTTTAAAATTTTAAAAATTTCAGCCACAAAATCTGGACATCATACACAATGTTGAGAGAAAAAAAAATTAGAGGAGAGATTAATGTTCGAATAAGAAGAAAATGAAAAGAGAAAAGGAGAGAAAGGGAAAAAAAAAAGGCAGGGAATGATCACAATGCGACGGAACACGTGTCAGAAAACCATTAGTTTCACTAAAGATGCGGCAAAATTAAATTTTACAGCTACCACAATGTTGTCACCTGTCCATGAAGCTCTCCAACGTTCATTTTGAATCTTTTTATTTTAATTTCACAATTTTTGTAGCAAAATAGACAATGATTCACATATAATTACCCTGTGAGTTACACACTGTTGATGACAAAATTTTCTCTTAATTTTGCCAAAATTGTAACAAAACCATTAAATGATTGACACATGATGCGATCTTATTAATTTTGCAGTACATGTAACAATATATTTAAAAAAAATAAAAAATTAAATACTTCACCAACATGGCAAAACTTATGCCAACGTAGCAAATTCTCTCCGGACAAAGAAATAGTTTGAAAAAATCAATAAAAGATGAATGTTTTTTAATTTACATTATTTAAATAAAAAAGCCAATATTTTCCTCTTACACATTACAATATGGAACAGCAAGTCAAAATGCATTGTACGAGTTTGAAAATAGAGATAGCAAAACACGATACAAGATCACTAGAAACACAGTATAAGTTAGAACAGCAGCTTGTAATACATTTTTGAAGCATACTGCTTTCATTAACACATGTGCCGCACAGGAATCTAAGGTATAAAATATTAAAAATGGACAATTACAAAAGCAGTGAGTTCTCTACCCTTTCGTGGTCTCTTTATAAACATTATTGCATAATGACCAAACATTGTGTTAGGTGGCCTCACAAAGGCTTCAAGGCAGTTCAAGTAATCATACAATTATATCAATAAACAATAATTAATGAATAAGGGTCATATCTTTTTCTAATGGCTCAATCCATCAATATGTCTGATCTATTTCTATCACTTATTGTCATGTGCCTCAGTTAAGTATCACCAAATTGCAATACCAATCACGATAAGAAAATGCTTTTACTGCTGCCAACCATACTGTTGGTTGCGGTTTCCACCCATCATGTTTGAGCCACGACCAGCTGCTGAACCACCATATGGACCACCTTGAGGATAATTTGGAGCTCCAACTCCATAACCACTACCACCCCCACCACGAGGACCACCGCTGGGCCCACCAGGCATACCACTTGACCCATATGGTGCCCCTCGCCCCTGGGGAGGATATGGACCACTTCCATAACCACCACCTCCTCCTCCTTGACCTCCACGATTTGGGTGATTGTATCCCCCACCAGGGTTCCCACCAGGAGGATATCTTCCTGGCCCACCAGAGGGACCTCGAGGCTTCCCATAATGATGGCTAGGTCCTGCAGCAACTGTTGGTTGAGACCCATGAATAGGAGGGTGGTTAGGACCTTGCCGCATCTGGGCATGTTGCCCACCCTGCTGAATTGGGGGAAGACGACTATGTTGTTGTGGATGCTGCATTTTAAGACGCTTGGCATTTTCTTCATTTTGTCGTTGCTGCTGGCGCTTTTTCTTGGTCTGAAACTCATGGGATGACTCGTACTTGGGTAAACTGAGCCAAACATAGGAGTAATAGTGAGTTGAAAAAGAATATAGTAAATGATCAGTTGAGAGAAGCAATAAACTTTAACGGGGAAGGAACACATGGGATAGACATTCAATCCAATGAAGATCACATACTCCAAGGAAATTAATATTTTGAAAATAAAATCTCAAGATCATAGGAGGTCATACCTCTTGGGATCACATGGTAATGGATCAGTCCAGAAATACTCAGCATCAAGTGCATCCTTGGCAGTAATTCTCTATTCAGAAATCAAATTGGCAAACAAATATTAGGATGCAGATCAAGAACAGAATTATTCATCATAAAAACAATTGTCCCAGGGGTGAATAAAATTATCATCGGATTATACCGAAAACAAACACAATGTACTTTCATGTTTCAAAATAACATGCATAAATATACTTCTTACTTTTCCATCACCATGCCATTGTGTGTGTGTGTGATTGTGATGTGTGTTAATTTTATTTTCACCATTTTGATCACATAACATAAGCCACTCAACCAAAACCAGATAATATATCATTTGCATCATAAGCTCAAAAGGCAATTCGTCAATATCTAAGATACATGATATGACTAAATAACAATATATACAAACATGCAATTAACATTATCAAATTAAAAGAGACTAGGTAATGTAAGATAAACTGGAATACTAAAAGTTGAAACACAAAATGGAAATTCAACATTAATTTAGCAATTAAAACAGTACCTGAGCAGGATCAAGTGTCAGCATCTTCTCCAACAATTCCAGAGCATGACGATCAAAACTATAATTTAAGTCACAGAGAAAAGCTACTCAGATTGAACACCCAGGAAAAAGAAATATGCAGCGTATAAATACTTTTTAATTGGGTAAAGGGGGTGGGGGGATAAAAAAGTATATGGAATTATTAATGCTCATACTCGACACTTACTGTCTGAAAACTTCCCTCAGACGTCTTTTCATGGGTCTTGTTGGCTTAAATTGATTATACCAAGGAGTCTTTGAAACACCAGGCCAGTTCACCTCATCAGGTGCTCCACACAACTCAAAAATTTTATTTAATTGTTCTGGCTACAACAATTACAAAGAAAACATACATTACCATCAAGCTGTACTAGAACAATTACCATGAATAAATAGCTGTACCAAGTTTTGATTAAAACAGAAAGGCTACGTAAGTAATATGAAGAATCCTTTCTTCTGGTCATATATACATCTCTGTATTGGGTGTACTGATAACATACTGGATAAAAGCATACCCTGGCCGGTAAACAATTTCATGACAACACCACTCATATTTTTCCCTTAATTTCACTCAAGGATTATATATATAGTATCACTAACCTCATCTTTTCCAGGAAAGATAGGCTTCCCATGAAGTAGCTCTGCAAAAATGCAACCTACAGACCACATATCTACTGCTGGCCCATACCTTGTTGCCCCTAGCAGCAGCTCAGGAGGTCTAATATATAATGAAATAATCAATATGTGTATAGGCTAAACTTCATGATACCACCCAACAGTGAACTTAGTCAAAATTAGAAACCAACTCCAGTGTCATGATAACAGGAATATCATTACCTATACCATAATGTGATGACACGATTTGTAAGATTTGCATTATGCTCATTAGAAAATGATCGTGCCAGTCCAAAATCTGCAAGTTTCAGATTACCTTCATTATCTATAAGAAGGTTTGAACCTGCAGCAGAACAAAATATATCAAATAGGAGGAGTAATAGATTTGGGAAGATTTAAAATCAAAATCTTGCACAAGTAGCACTTAGAAAGACATTAGCAAAAGGGAACCTTTGATGTCACGGTGAAGTACTTGATTTACGTGACAATAGTGCAGCCCAGTGAGAAGCTGTCTCATGTAACACTTTGAAGGAAAAAGCAACTCAGGCATCACTAAAACAGCAACTATCAGTTCATGAATTAACATTTAATATTAACAGAAATACCTTAATTTGGGGAACTGTAAATCTCATCCCAGGTCGGTCAGCAAGACCTGTCAAATCATGGTCCATGTATTCAAAGACCATATAGATGCCACCTTTATATTTGTTACCATCTGCATAATCCCAAAACATAAACAAAAGAAATATGTAGTAGGAAATAAGAGAATTCAAAAGGAGGTAATGGATATATCCATACAATCAAAACAGTAAAACATATTACAAGCTACTGTCTAATTAAAAATGAAGTAATTGACTATTATCACAAAAATCAATGACTTGCCTGGCCTCCCTTGTTCATCTTTCTCAGGGCCTGTAAAAAGAGACAAATTTTGGAAGTGAATTAATTGAAAGCCTACATTTTGATAGAAAGCACAGTTAAATCGTTAAAAAGTGTACCTGGAGAAGTCACAATTTCTTTCAACTTGATTACATTTTCATGGTGTAGTTTCTTTAGAATTTTGATTTCACGTATAGCTGTTATGGGAAACTGCAATTATGAAATTCATAGAACGATTCAGAGGGAACTCGTTATAGAAACAATAATAATTGCAACTTCAGATTTTGGTCCACAGAATTGCATAAACAATCAAATGTTTGAAAATGCATCAAACACACAATGATATCCCAGATGAAGAATCAAACCAATAACATCAACTAATAAGTTTTTATGCTACCAAAATAAAATACATAAGGAAGCATTTAGTAAGGTGATCAAAGATATACCCCTTCTCTCTCATTGTCCATTCGTATTTTCTTCAGGGCAACAATTTCACCAGTTTTGATCTCTCTAGCCATGTAAACCTGACTGCAATCATAAGTATTTTAATGCATAGATTATTTTCCTTCAGAAATATCAGCAAAGAGGTATAAACAATTACTGGAGCATAAAGTAGCAAAATAAATCCTACCCAAAAACAAATTTTTAAAGCATTTCATGGAAATTTGATGTCATAATAGAAAGATATAAATACAAACTAAAAAAGTGAGAATAAACTACAATTTTCCACTAATAGTACTCAAGTGTAAAACAGGATTGGGAGCCATGTCCAGAGAAGAAAATAAGTGTGATGGGAAACAAGAATTTATAAGAGAGAAAAAAAAAACTAGATTAAAAAAATACTGTTTCAAAGGAAGAAAATGGATGAAGAGAACATGACACAAGGAGATTTATAAGCAACCAAAGAAACCCTAAGTTTAGCACAAGCAACAAATAAACAGCAACCTTGAAGCACATAACTCTACCTCACCTAATGTTGATAAAATCTTCAAAACCCATGAAAGAAAAAACCCTGCCAAGGGAGTGTTGCTGTCCCATTATTTTAACAAGCTGCATATGATATTACTCCCTATAGCTGTTTCAACTTTTCCACTAAGTGGGTGATTGGGAAGAGATTAATTATGGAAAATAATCCTTTTTTTTTTTTCCCAAAACTCTCGAAGAAAGCTGCGAAAAAGTAACCATTATTTTCGAAAGATAAACTAATTCGAACACACACTAAGATGATTGCTCCACTGTTCAAAAGTTGCTGGTTGATAAAGCTACATTCTATCAATCAAGGGCTTCAAAAATCCAATGCTCAACTTGAAGTTTTATTCAAGCTTAAAGGCTTAACCTCGTCTGGAGTATCATTTCATAATCTGAAAGGAGACTGCATTGCAATTGGGTATGTGTCTATGTAATAACAAATGAGTAAAGTATAAGCAACCAAACAGAAAACTAATAAAATAAATATAATATCCCTTACCAAAATATTTATGAGCATTATACAAAGACATCTATGGAATTGAGCTAGAAAATCATAGAGGTGGAACTAGGAATGCTAGAATCAACAAAAGTGGAGCTTCAAATGTAATGTTAACTAACAAAGTCATGCCTCAAGAACTTCCACTCACTGACAAATAATTGCATACTCCAATGCCGCTTCTCCATAGCCAAAAGGCAAAATCTTGATCTCCCTCCCTTTTTGAGTGTAATTAAGGGGTTGACTGGGACAGGGTTTTGGAGGGGAAGGGAGTGGAGGGAAATTTAAAAAAAAAGAAATTGAGATATATAATATTTATGATAGTAAATAAAAGATTAATACATTATGTTAATCAGTTAATGCTAATCCATCATATCTTTAGTTTTGAAAATTTATCAAATTAAAATCTATTCATTTAAAATAAAATTGTTGCCGTCCCCACCGAAACCTCCTTCCCAAACAATCCCTATCAAGGGCATAATATAGATTAACCCTGAAACATCTATTAAACTCCTCCCAGTGTTGCTACCTTGTTAATTAACATATAGAAGCTAAAGATTGCCTAGACACAAGAAGCACCAAAATAATTTCCAAGTAGAACAACTACTGCCATTGGACCAATAAACTTCTCTTACACACTCGCAATTTAGATTATGACAACATGATCAAACATAAGAAGTTGTCAATCACCACAAACCACATCACAAACCCAATAACAAAGAATAACGCAAAAAAACTATATATATATAATTGACGCAAACATTGAAAAAAAAAAATCCCTAAACCACAATGCAATAAAAAGAACATAACAAAAATTAGAAAAAATCACAAAAACTGGCTACTGGGAGATCAAAGAACACTGACCCATATGTGCCCTCGCCAATTTGCTCCAATTTTTCGAAGCAATCGACGCTTCGAGATCCCCAAGAAGGTGACTCGTTCACGTTGAGTTGCCCTGGCGCCGCCATAGCCATTGCAACTCTCCAAACCCCAAAATCTTGTTCTACGCGAATGAACACCGAAGCCGAAAAAGAAGATGGCTCGACGAGAATCGAAAGAGGATATTGTCGATCAGGCGAGGAAGTAAGCAAAAGAAAAAAAAAATCCCGGAAAATAAACGAGAAAGTTGATGAGAAACTGTGTAGTGTGGGAAATCAAAGTGTGCCTACGAAGGCTGCGAATATAATTTTGATGCTGTGTTTGGCCTAGGGTTTAGAATTACATGTTTTTCACTCTTGAATATCTTAGATTATAAGGGAATGATTATTCTGATTCTAATTCTATTCTTGTGTAAATTCTCGTATCTTAAATTATTGATGAATGATTATTCTGCTTCTAAAAATCTAATTTAAATGATAAGATTTTTATATTATCCTTTAGGTATGAATTTTTTACACAGTACACTAAAATTAAATTATGATTTTAATTCTATTCAGATATAATTTCTCGTTTTTTTATTTTTATCTTAACTTTTTTTAAATAAATATACATATTTATCATGAATCTAAGTATTTATTATTTATTCAAATTATTTAAATATATTTTATAAAATACTATTTTAATTAAATCACATAACTTTTTTTTTTATCAAATATTTAGTTTTTTTATTGATTTTAAATTATTTAAATTTTCATTGATAGTATTTTCATTTTGAATGATGTTCCATTTGAAGTATTTAATATATTTAACAAAAATATTTTCCCATTAAAAAGGATAATTATTTTTAAAGAAAATGAAAAACCTTTCACTAAATTTATTCTTTGTTTTGTCATATATTTTTTTAGGTTGTGGTTGAATAGAGTAAATCAAAATTATTCTAATAAGAAAAAAATATTTTAAAAATATTATAGAATTTTAACTAAAAACTTTTTATGTTAAATAATCTATATTCAAATGATTTATTTTTAAAAAAATAAAAAATCTCTTTATTATATTTAAATTTTATATTTATTATTCATAACTATTTTTTATAATTTTAATTTTTTTATTTAAACATAATTTTAATCTTGTTTCTATAACACTGTTTGTAAGGTGTTTACTCTTTTATCAGAAAAAAAGAAAGTGATAAAAATAAAATAAAAAATAATTTATCTTTAAAAATAATGAATAATTTTGGAAATTAATTTTGGAAGTGTGAAAATATAAATTTTCAAATTATTTTAATTTTAAAAATTTATTTTGGAAAGTGTAGAATCCTAATTTTAGAAATTTATTTCTAAAAAGATAATTTTAAAAATGAATTTGAAGAAGTATGAAAGCTTAATTTCAAAAATTATTTTCTAAAATGTTTTATCCTAGTTTTAAAAATTTATTTAAAAAGGTGCATATGAAGACGTTATTTTAAACTATAAATCAAATTTTTATAATACATTCAACAACATTACTATATTTGAAGAGTAATTGTGCTTAAGATATACTAAGAGAAGGTAACGACAGAAGAATAATGAAACTTAGGGTAGTAGAAAAAAAAAAAATACAATAGAGACGAAAAGTAAAAATTTAAAAATATTACCATAAAATCTGAAACAAAAATTAGAAAAATTAAATGTTATTAAATTTTATAAAATATTTTACTATAATTTAAAATTTTAATTAGCCATATTTTAAGAAGGTATATATAACGGTGTAAAAAGAAAAAAAAAAAAAAAAAGGTTGCAAAAAGCAACGCCCAAGTTTTAATTGTGATCGGATCAAGAGTTTGTGTTTCCATTTGGGCCTTAGTCAGATAAGAACCACCGTGGGCCAAAGTTTGTTTTGGCTACTTCCAACATTGATACACACTTGTGTTTGTGAATTTTTAGTACTGGTTTTAGACTTGACCAAAAAATAAAAAACTCGTAGTGGCTTTAGAAAATATTTAATGGGATGAAAAAAGAAAGAGAATATTTTAGTGGTGATTTTAACTTTCACTTATAATTTTTGTCGCAATTCTTAATTTATCAGAGTTATTTGGTATTAGGTTTATGTAACAAATTAAGTGGTTGTTTGAAAAAGGAAAATTTTTTAGAAGGAAAGAGATGACAAAATTAATATTTTAAATAAATATAATTAAAATTAATATTTTTAAAAAAATAAAAGATATAAATTAATATATTAACATAAACTTAATGTATTTTTTATTTTAAATAATATATAATTATTTTATTTTAAAATTAAAAAATATGTTTTCCCTCCTTTCTCTTCCAAAAACTTTTTACCAAACATATTTTAAGTAAATTTAATAATGGTCAAAATTAACATTTTATTGAGATTAAAATTATTACCAAAAGAAAGCAAAATCTTTAAATGTTACTTATGCCTAAAGTTTTAACCATATTGTTAGTGATATTTTAAACTATCAACAATTTTAATTCAATAGTATTCATTGTGACATTCATTACACTTCCTTAATTTAATCTTCTATTACGATACATTTGATACTAAATTACTAATCATCAAATTTTGAAATAAAAAACACAAAAATAAATTACTACATGCATTTAGGAAACATATAGAGAAGTCTTTAATAACTATTTTAAGTACAAATAAGGTTAAAAGCAAGTTGGTAAGTAACTTACTATTTACAAATTTTAAAAAATTAGTAGTTTTAAACCTCCATACATGATATAAGTTTAATGTTTATTACTTATATTTAGGTTCTAAGATTGCTTTTAAAGCGCCATTTTTGTAACAGTCTTCAATTTGTTGTCATTATATTGGAAAAATAGAAATTTTTGGCGCAGGATTTCTCGTTTAAGCGAGAGCGGATAATGTCACTCCAATTGTCCTCTTGCTTAGCCGATAAAGTTCTCGCTCAAGCAAGAGAGGATAATGTCACTCCAATTGTCCTCTTGTTTAGGAGAGAATATGGCTCGTCTCAACGAGAAGTGGTCTCGCCTAGGTGGCCTTGCAGAAAAATGAAAAATTCCTTTGACCCACTCTCACTCAAGCGAGAATGTCTCTCACTCAGGCGAGGAGGGTTTTGCCCAGGCAAGAGTTGACCTCACACAAGTGAGAACACGCTCGCTCAAGTAAAAAACGCTAGTTTGAAGGGTATTTAAGGGACTTCAAACTTAAGAATTTTTATTTAGAATCAAACAGTTTCTCCTCTCATTTCTCTCTGTTCTCTTACCTTCCATTCCAGAGAAAACTCTTCTGAACCTCGAACCTTTTCCAAATCTGAACTTGAACGTCTATTCCGTTCAGATCTAAGTAAGTTTCTTGGATTCCTTTTTTCAATTTTTCTCTTTCTCAAAAGGTATTTACTTTGTAATACATAGGTTCTTCATTGTTTTGACAAAACCTCTCATCGAAAGTGTCGTACCTCTTTTTTGTATCTTAAGAAGAATTTGATCTTAGAGACTCGTTTCTAAGTAAGGGAAGTAGATCATAAACCCTAACTTTTATTTTGTGTTTTAACTTAAAAACTTCAATATCCCTATTTTCAATAGTAAAACCCTCATATTTATTAAGATTTTTGTGCAGATTTTTGTGCTAGAATGGGATTTTTGGAGCATGAAAACCAATTATCTATTTCTTAAAACACTTAGATAAGATTTTTATAGCCGAAATTATGAGTAACATAAGTTTTTAAGAAAGTTTATGATTTTGATATTGATATGTACGCATAATTATTTTTGGATTATGACTTTGCACAATATGGGATAAAAGGTGCTAAACCCCAGAATAGACGATTTTATAAGAAGATTGAGAGAGTGTAATCTTCAACAATGTATATGTGGTTTAGTTCAATATATGTTAAACTATACGACTAGTTTGAGATTGAGGGTGTCCGACCTTCAACACAATTTATTAATTTGTATGATGTGAAATAAGTGGATGATTTGTTCGTATTGGAATGGTGTAGTGTAATAAGTGTAGGTTTATGTTTGATAACTGATAAATGTTGAAATTGGTGAATTCATGTTATTATGAAAAGTATTTGATTGTCTTGAATGATAATGTTTTATTAGTGAAAGTTGATGAATAAAGGGCTAATATGAATAAGTGTGCATGTAAAATTAAAGTTGTTTATGTTATCAAAGTGGAAAGTGAAATGTTGATAAATTGTGTGTAATATGAAATGTTGAAATGATGATAAAATGTGTGTCATGTGGAAATGTCGTGCTGATAAAATAAATGTAATGAAAAATGTTGAGGAATTAAATATCATATGAAATGCTAAAAAAGTAAGTGTAATGACAAATGTTGAGATACTATATAAATAGTTATAGAGATACACTAGGGGTATAGAGTTTGGAGAAAATTTAAAAATTTTTGGAGAAATGAATGTGGTGAATGCTATTTGTAAGTGAGTGTATAACGAATTGCTGAAAGTAAAAGCATTCACAGGTCTCCTAACGAGACTCCTGACTATACCTTTGCTGAAAGAACCTAAAGGAACACACGTTATATTCATGTTGTTTGGGTTAACTGGCGACTATCTATACTCATGTAAGATATCAAGGGATCCTAGAGGCAATGTTGAGGAATTGTGAGATGTGTGATTATAATAGGTAAGTCATAACGGATTGATTAGTATAATTACAATACATGTATTGTAATATATCAAAGGGTGTAATTATAATACATGTATTGTAATACATTAATTAATATAGTTATAACGTACATATTATGACATACTGCTCGGTCTAAAAAAGACATGATATAATATGAAATTGGTGTGTTTGAAAGTACTAATGGCATGATTGATGCTCTGTTTGATATGTTGTAATACTTAGTAAAATGACGTATGAATTAGTATTATTTTAGTGTACATTATATGATTTAAAATATGAATGATACAATTGTTGTTGCTATGAATTTGTTAATATAACACTGCTACTAATTTACATTTCCTGTGTTATTTTAATTGATTTATAAAGAAAATAATTAGTGAAATAGGAATACTTACTCTTATAAAATATGTTTCTAGGACATGCTAATTGAAAGAATTAAAGAAAGATTGATCTGTTTAGGATCATATTTTTGGCGAAATGATGAAAAGATTGCTCTTATAAAATTTAGAGGATTGTAATATTTTTTATTTCTATTTTAAGTTAATTAGGTTGTGTAATTATTTAAATATAAAATTTAAAAATTATGATATTGGATAGATTTTATTGTAAATATTATTTTGAAGTATTTGTAATATAAGTAATCGATTATTTTTAGACGGTATTATGTGTGTTTTAAACTTACATATATGTAACTCAAATTAGTAGATTATTCAATTTTTTTTTATTTCATTCTATTTATAAATTTAAAAATATGAAATTAATTCTGTGTAAGATTTAAAAATATAATTTTGATCTTTTCATTAATTCTTAAATTTATAATTTTT